CTTGACTGAAACATTCAATCGAAAGTTAATAACTCGACTTTATAGCTATGTTATTCGAACGCCTGTTCGATATGTATATTCGAGTCCGAGTAACATAGCTTTATTTAGTAAGTAAAACATATTGCTGCTGAATAATTAGTATAGGTTCATTGCCTTGGAGTAGCCAAAGTCGCATATTTTGAGCCTCGGTGCAGTGCTGCCATCTAATAGCGTGTTTTCTAGCTTAAGATCCCTATGACAAATTTGCTGCATAAATAGGGGAAATAATATCGATTTAACTTGAGAAAGGCAGAAAAGGTGAACTATTTTCAGAATTAGAGGGATCCAATGGCACGTATTTACCATTGCATGGCAATAACTCACTCCCGATATCAGTTGTTGAAAGAAAAACCTTGCCTGATGCAGAAAAAAAATTACAGTTCTTAAAGAAAACAAAGAAATTATCAATGAAGTTCAACATGAAAAATGAAATATGTTATACACCTCATCCTCACTAAATCTACCAGCATTGCAAATCCTTTCGAAAAGTTCTCCACCAGCAGCATATTCCATGACTATGGCAAGATGAGTAGGTGTTAGTAACACCTGCAAGGCAAACAAAATAAGCAAGAAATTGAAGAACTGATGAACTAAAACAGAACAAAAGATGAACCAGCAACTCTGGTTTTTCTCTGGAAACTCAATCATTCTGTACTTTGAAGCAGAAACTCCGACCTCTTTGAATCTGATTATATTTGGATGCTTCAAAGACCTATGGTTCATGATCTCCCTTTGAACGTGTTCATCAATCTGCATAACCAAGCAAACCAAAGAAATCAACCCAGATTAGCCTGCGAGTAAAAAAAGCAAACAGGTAGAAGATCGTGAATAAAAGAAGTACCTTGGGTCCTCTTTCAATATACTTGACAGCATAAAGCTCACCACTCCGTTTATCCCTAACCAGCTTTGCAACACCAAAGTTCCCTGAACCGATATCTTTCAATATCTCATAACGATCCATTTTCACAAGCCGATTCCCAGAAAGAGAAGGAAAAAATCTTTATGTAGATAACATATGAATCTTCTATGTTGAGATTTTGTTTATGCTATATATGGTTTTAGAGGTTGATGAATGTCGATCTCAGTGAATATATGTGGGGGCGTTTGGAATTGGGAATCTCAATGACTTTTCGATGTTTGGAGTTTGTGGCATAGAGGATGGCGAAAAGGAAAAGGCCATATTAATGGAATTGAGACGGTGCCACCTACTTTACCTGTCGTTGGCTGAGAGGCAAAACTAAGTGACAGAGATTACACGTGGCGAGTAGTTAGTGGTTGGAATATAGAGCAGAATCGGAACAAGTTGCACACTTGACAACGTCGTGCTTGCCTCTCCACTTACTCGCTTTGCTTGCTTCTCTATTTCACACAATTTTATGGCATGCTTGAATTTACAAATTATAGGTTATTTTTATTTTCTTAAAAAATATAAAGCATTGAATAAAACATGTTTTGTTGTAAAATTAAAAAATAAAAATATGAAAACATAAAAATGATGTTTCCATTATTTTCATTAAAATTATTTTGGAAGTTTAAAAAATAAGAAAATACGGAATTTATATTTTTAACTTAACTTACACGAATTCAAATCATTTTAACAATTTTATTGACTTAATGGTACATTAAACCCTCCAACTTTTACAAAAAAATAATATGATCCCTGAATTTTTGTACACTCAATTTGGTCCTTAAATTATTTTTTAATAATTTAATTTTGTAATATTTTTAATATTAAATATCTTAATAAAATTGTATATATTTTAAATTTAAATATTTTCTTAATTTTCTAAAAAAATAATTAAGTCCATAAATATTTTAAAAGAATCATTAGGCCTCAAACTTAGTTAAAAAAATCAATTAAACACATCTACCACATCATTATCCATTATGTACTTCCATAACATGATTGTGAGCTACCACATCAATATTATAGATTATCATGTGAGCTTATGAACAATCATGTAAACGTCGTGACGATCAACATTTGAGAGTTTTAAATACCACTAAACATTTTTTTTATTTTAATGACACTTTTGTTTGTTATAGTTTACAATAATTTTTGTGTATTTTTAAATTTAATTGATGACCGATATGCATTAACATTGTATTCTTATTATAATCTAAAATATTTTTTGTTATAAATTTCTTATCAATTTTATTGTTTTACATTTACATAACTCAACTATTAAATGTATGTAATGAAATTCTTTAATAATTATATTTTAATATAATTATTTAATAACTATTTATTCATCTATTAAAAAAAAGAAATATGTCAAATACATTTGAATTATTTTTATTTCTGAATTGAAAATTTTATTTATATTAACCAAATATGTTTTCTAATTTTTAAAAATATGAAAATAAAAAGAAGACAAAAACGGAAAATATTTTCTAGAGTCCACAACCCTTATTTTCACATTTTTTTAAATATATTTTATTTTAAAATTATCTACTATATTTTGAAAATATTTTTTTATCATAGTATTTAAAAAAATTATCTATGTAATATTGTTTAGGCTTATTACAAAAATAAGTGTCTAAATTATGTCTTGAAAAACGTTTTAGTGCCTAAAGAATTTTTCACTAAAATTAGATGTCTAACATTTTCTCAGTTATATTTTAGGTGCCTACGATATATATATATATATATATATATATATATATATATATATATATATAATATATATATAAATAAAAAATATTATTTTTAAAAGAAAAAAATAAAAAAATAATTTATTTATAAAAACCCCCAAAGTTTTCAAAAATTACAAAATAATCCCGGTTGGACTTTCACCGAAACTTTGAAGTCTCCTCCACGGAAAACGGTGACACTACTCGACGAGGGACGGTTAGGTTTTACTTGGCGTGAGACGACACTCTTACTTATGGAAGAAGTGACGATCATGGCTAGCCGGAGAAGATATTCGACGGTGAGAGGCAAGGAACGGTTTTTTATTGTTTTGTGAGGATTGACAGTCGATTTGGATGATTGCTGGTCGAGGTTGGGGTCACGAGAAACCGACAAATCCATTGGTGGTGTAAGCTACCAGCTACCGGTGACAATGATGTTGGGGAAGAAGAAAAGGGAAAGTGAGAAAGGGGAGACGGGTGATTGGGGATTTTAAAAAAAGTTTTTCTTAAATAATATATTATTTTCTAATAAAAATATTTTTTTTAATAATTTCTCAAAATTATAAGAATAAAACACACGTCACTTAACGATCACTTAATAATATATTTAACGATGAGTATCTAAAAGTGTAATATTTGAAACTTTAGGTATTTATTTTAACGAAAAAATATTTAGATACTAAATATTTTTTGAGACATAATTTAGACATTTATTTTTATATTAAACCTATTATTTATATCTTTAAACGTATTTTGTATTCTATAATCACTTTTAATAAGCAAATATCCTCGATCACGTTAGAGATGAACAAAGCGAGTACACGATGTAATGGTACTCGATGAGGGTGGGGCTGTAAAAAAGTGGAAATTGTACAAGATAACTATTTCGAAATACGAGGAGAAGAAGGTAAGTGACAGTCGGTTAGAGCAGAAGAATGACGTGGACAAACGAAGAGGGTTCCTTCACTGAAATGGATTCGTGGTCCCTACTTAATTGGTTCCCTTTTTTATTTATTTAATTAGAAAATAAAAAACTAATTTTTATTATATAATAAAGCATTTTATTTGAACTTAATTTGTTAGTATGGATTTCTTCTGAATAGAATAAAGGTTTAATACCAAAATTAACCCTTAATATTTATCAAAGTAGTCATTTTGTCTCGAATTCTATTTTTTATATTATTTTAACTCCCAATGTTTCATTTTTTTATGTAAAAATACCTCTAACAATTGATAGAATAATCGCTTTGTCCATTTTTCTTTTTTTATGAAACATTTTAGCCGTAAACATTTCATTTTAGGTTAAAAATATCCCTATTTTGGAGAGTTAATCATGTATTAATTAATGATTTTCATCTATAGGGTTTTTTTATCTCACAATAAAACGTTAGAAGCTAAAATACTTTCAAAAAAGAATATAGACCAAAATGGTTATTTTGATAAAAGTTGAGGGCTATTTTTTTGTATTATGCCTAGAATAAAATGAGTAAAGATCGTATATGGAAAGACATCCATTCATGTATCAAGTGAGTTTCAGGTTAATTTATTTATTTAAATATTGAGTTTTAGATTAATTGAATATTGAAAAAAGTTAATACATTTATATATACCGTAATTATTTCAACGTAATCAATCGTAACTATTAATATAGTTCTATGCTTAATAAGATTTTATCTCAATAATTAAGAAAAATAATGTTAAAATCTTCCATTATATATGTATATAACTTTTTGGGTAAATTAAAAATTTCATCACTGAACTTTACTTTTCTCCTATTTTGCTCATTGAACTTTAAATTTTTAATATTTTTCATTGAACTTAATACATAGGGTTTTTTTTTGTCATTAAACTTTACTCTCTCTCTCTCTCTCTCATATTTTAGTAACTTCACCATTAACTATTTAAGGTGTTAAAAATGATGCTATTTTAAAAAAATTACCCAAAAAATGTCGTTTTGCATCTACATAACAGTTCATTTTAATGCCATTAATTATTTAATGGCCAAGTGAACAAAAAAAAACTCAATGTATTAAGATCAATGAGAAAATTGAAAATATTTAAAGTACAGTGAGTAAAATAGGAGAAAGAGTAAAGATTAATTATCAAATTTGTAATTTACCCTATCTTTTTTAAACAAGTAATAAAAATATAAATAAACATGTTTATAAATATTGTGAATGAAGATGTTTAACCACGTTAAAAAATTTATTCATCAATTCATAACAAATAAATAGACAAACATGTCTCCTAAATTTAGATATAAAATTAAATATAATTAATTGCAAATAAAAATTAGATACAAAAAGATGTTGGCGTTTTCGTTTATATTATTCTACTTGATGCTCTTTCTTGTTGTGAGGATTCTTCTTCACTCCTATAAAGCCACCAATTTTTGAAATCAATTTCCTTGTTCTGGTTTTATCAGTTTCTTCGTCGCCATGCTCATGAGCATGGTGATTCTCCTCATTGTTCGTTAAGTCCTCCCCAGCTTCATTTTTCGGGGTTTCAGCTATGTCGAAGATGGAGCTCTTGAGTGGGTCGAAGTCCTCAGAGTCCGAACTATCATCGTTTTCTTTGGGTGGGATTTTGGGCTCTTCGTCTGCTTGCTTGTGTTTATGTGGGAATTTTATAATCAGACATGTGTTGTCGGCTATAAAAGACTTTGTTTTCTTAGCAGGTTCTTTATCATGATCTTTAGATTCCTTGTGAAGATGTGTTGAATTCAAGTCCATTGATTTATGATGTGCTGAACTTGAGTCCATTGAATTCTGAATCTTATCTATCTCTTCATCGTCCATTTCCAAGAGCTCCTTCACCGAAATCGATGTCGAACTCCTTCTCGTCGCCGTCGTTGGTTGTTCTCTTTGTGTTGGATCCATTGGTTTTTGTAACTTATCGATTTCATCATCATCCACAGCCAAGAACTCTTTCACCGTCATAGGTGCTGTCATCTTCGTCATCGTAGTTATTATTGCTGGTAACGGTGATGACGATCTCGTTAGTCTTGGTGCTGGTGCTGGTTGATCGCTTTCTTTATCATGATCTTTATGTTCCTTGTTATGATGTGTTGAATCCATTGGTTTCTCTTTCTTTCCTTGCTCATAATCCTTCATTTCTGAACACTCCATCGTCGTCGTTGTTGCTAGTAATGGTGGTGGTGATCCTGATGGTTTTGGCGCGGGTTGTTCGCTTTCTTTATCATGATCTTCATGTTCCTTGAAATGATGTGTTGAATCTATTGCTTTTTTGTTCTTACCTTGCCCAGAATCCTCCATTTCTAAATACTCCCTCATCGGTGATGGTGATCCTGATGGTTTTAGAACGGGTTGTTCGATTTCTTTAACATGATCATTATGTTCCTTGTCATGATGTGTTGAATCCATTGGTTTCTTTCCAAGTTCAGGATCCTCCATTACCGAGCAATCCTTCAAATTCGTCATCGACGTAGTCATTCTCACCGTCATCAATGTTCCTGGTAACGGTGGTGCGGGTTTTTCGTTTTCTTTAACGTGATTATTGTGTTCCTTGTCATGATGTGCTGAATCCATTTGTTTTCGTTTCATGTATTGCTCAAAACTCTCCGTTTCCGAGAACTCCTTCACACTCGCTATCGATCGAGTCATTCTCACCGTCTTCAGTGTTGCTGTTAACGGCGATTGTGATCTTCTTGGTTTCAGTGTGGGTTGGTCTCTTTCTTTAACATGATCATTATGTTCCTTACCTTGTTCGAAATTCTCCATTTCCGACTTCTTCATCATCACCAACGCGTTCTTTCTACCCAACGGTATCGGCGATGGTGATCTTCTTGTTCTTAGTATGGGTTGTTCACTTTCTTTATCTCGATCAATATGTTCCTTATCTTGCTCAGAATCCTCTATTTCGGAGTGCTGCTTCATCGTCACCAACGAGGCCTTTCTCCCCATCGGTATCGGTGATGGTGATCTTGTTGGTCTTAGTGTAGGTTGTTCGCTTTCTTTATCTCGATCATTATGTTCATTATCTTGCTCAGAATCCTCCATTTCGGGGCGCTGCTTCATTGTTGTTAATGCGGTCTTTCTCATCACCATCGGTATTGGTGATGGTGATCTTCTCGGTGTTAATGTGGGTTGTTCGATGTCTTTGTCCCGATCGTTATGTTCCCCATCTTGTTCAGAATCATCTATTTCGGAGTACTGCTTCATTGTCACCACCGCAGTCTTTCTCATCACCATCGGTATCGGATATGGTGATCTTCTTGGTGCTAGTGCAGGTTGTTCGCTTTCTTTATCAGGATCATTATGTTCCGTATCTTGTTCAGAATTTTCCATGTCCGAGTACTGCTTCACCGTTACCACCGCGGTCTTTCTCATCACCATCGGTATCGGTGATGGTGTTCTTCTTGTTCTTTGTGTGAGTTCTTCGCTTTCTTTATCAGGATCATTATGTTCTTTATCTTGCTCAGAATCCTCCGTTTCGGAGTACTGCTTCACCGTCATCAATGCGGTCTTCCTCATCACCATCGGAATCGGTAATGGTGATCTTCTCGGTCTTAGTGTGGGTGTTTCACTTTCTATTTCACGATCATTATGTTTCTTATCTTGCTCAGAATCCTCCATTTCATAGTGTTGCTTCATCGTCATCAACGCGGTCCTTCTCGCCGGTGATCGTGACCGTGCATGTGCTCTGCTCTTTGCACGCCTTTCACTTTCTTGGTAAAGCAATTTCAAAGCTTCTTCCTTTTGAGCAAGGGCGTCTCTGAGCTTGGAATTTTCTTCCCTGGCAACGCTAGCCTCTTCTTTGGCTACATTTACTTCAGTTAAGGCCTGTTTCACTATGTCCCTCAGCCTCTGAATCTCCTCCTTTGATCTATTGATCATTTCCCCAGCTTCTTTAAGTGATTTCTGCAATGCTCTGCACTCTTCCTGCGCGCCGTTCCTCTCGGATTCGGCCTTTTTAATGCATTCGACGAACCCTTTCTCGTGCTCGTTCCACGAAATCAGGGTTTCTTCGGCTTCTAGCCTTAACCTAGTCGCGATGTTCTTTTGTCGATCAGCTTCTTTCTTCTCGTCCATGCATCGCTCCTCCACCTTTTTCAGCTTCCGTTTGGTCGTCTCGAGCTCTTCCTTTGTCAACGAGAGTTTATCTTTGGTCAAGTTCGATTCGGTGATCACTTCCTTCAAAGCCATAGCTAAATCATCCATGGCTTTCTTGTTGTTCTCCTCGGCTTCGAAGGTGTACCTCAGTTCGTTCTTGAACACGTTCACTTCCTCGGCCAGATTGTTAGCCTTCTCTTGTGATTTAGCCAACTCCGATTTAACCAATCGAAGCTCATGCTCGAGGGACTCGACCAAAGAACGACCGTTACCCTCGAGCAAGGACTTGATCTCTTGCCTGGATTCTCTGAGCGAGACCTTGGTCTTCTCCAACTCTCTGTTCTGAGCCAACAACGCATCATGCATGCTCTTCTCGGACTGTCTGGATTTCGCCAGCTCTTGTCTCAACGATTCGATGATCCAGTCCTTGTTCTTCAATTCTTCATTAGCACTGAACAATGAGGTTTTTACTGCGGTTACTTCGGTGTGGATGTCGGTAACTTTTGAACTCGACCTCTTTCTGAACTCGTCGTGCCTCCTCATGTCTTGTAAATTCATATAATTCTAAGCAATACCATGAAAACCAGGTCATAAGATTTTTAATGAAACCGTGATTCGAATTTGTAATTGTTTAGATGCGATTAGGAAGAAGAATTACCTCGATTGAATTGGAACGGCTTGGGATTTGATCTCTATGACAATGTTAAGAGACTTTCGTACGTTTGAGGAGATGTCTTTTTGGTGGATGTCCAAACCATGAACGATTTCTTGTTTTTCAAAAAGGGGAAAAATAAAATGAAAAAAAAAAACTCAATTAAGTAATAACCAATTAATTCTAAAAATAATCAAGATTCAACGATTGGCATAAATATTAGCTATATTTTCTAATAACAGAATCTAGTCCCGATCAAAAAATGGGGAAAAAAATTAAAAAACTGAAGTAAAAATATGCGTAAAAAGGAAGAAATCTAGGGTGCAGGAGAACTAAATATGTTTGCTAAATTCGTTTTAATATATATAATTTTTTTATAGAAGTAACTAGTGATATAAATAATAATAATATTATAATTACAATAAAGTTTTATAATCATAATATTAAATTATACACATAATTAGGATATTTTTCCAAAATCATTGACACAGAAACTAAACAACTTAGATCGTATAAAGACCATACAAAGAAGATTTAAATATCTAATCAAAACCCGAACATGGAAATATACGAACATATTTGATTGTATTGACAAACGAACCGCAATTGGAGATTAAGCTACTGAAAGACTACTGAAAAAATCACAAATCAGAGTCAAACGACATGAAAAAACTATTTATAAATGCAAATCGAGCATCCAAATCCAATATAAGGGTCAAAAGCATGGAAGATCAGCATGATAACATATATACGTCACCTTAATAAATTGTGATAATGTCAAATCAACCCTTAAAAAGATAAATAAAAAAGGACTAAAAATGTGCCAAAAGGTATATGAAAACTTATCATAAAGACATACTTATTAAAAATTAAAAATAAAAGAACAATAAAGATATAATATAAAAAAATAAATGTACAATAAAAATTATTAACAGTTACCAATCAATATCAAAATTGATGTCATTAACTATCAACAAAGATTATATAAGATGATTATATTAAGATTTTGGCTTAATACAAAAATAAATGAATTTTATCTCAAAAAAACGATTTGGTGTCTAAAGAATTTTCGTTAAAAATTGGTGCCTAAAGTTTTCTCAATTACACTTTTAGGTGCATACCGTTATATTTTTTATTTTTTATTTTTAAAAATAAAAATATTATTTTTAATGAAAAAAATAAAAAAAAAAACTTAATTTATTTACAAAATAACCCTAAACTTTAATGAAATTATAAAAAAACTAAAAAATCTCATTTTAACCTTGTTACCACGGTAGAACACCAGAGGAGCACCGACGAAGCGACAACGAGGATGGATTTTACACGGGATCGGACGGTGGTTCGAATGGTGGTGACGCCGTGGCATATGGATGTCGGAATCGATCGAAATCGTAAAAAAATAGTAACGTTGGACGAAATTTCAAACGCTTCTCTATGATAAACGACGACAGCTTATAACGAAAGGTCAAAGTAAGTTTGATCGGAGGTCGACGCTAGTGCCGATGATAATGGCGGTGATAGTCACCGCAAACCAATCGGTTGGCATAAAAGGGAGAAGTGGGGGAGGGAGAAGACACTAACGTGGTGAGAGTTGGAGGTTATGTCGACTGTTTTTTTTATAAAAAATAATTTTTATTTTTAATTAAATTTTAAAAATTATCAAAACTTGACACGTGTTATTTAACGGCCAGTTAACGATAATTTTTAATAACGAGCACCTAAATGTATAACTTTAGAAACTTTAGACGTTTATTTTTATCAAAAAATTCTTTAAATATTAAAACATTTTTTTGAAGTAAAATTCGAGTAATTATTTTTGTATTAAACCTAAGATTTTTAATCAATGACAGCTAAATGATCATAAACAAGGAGTATGATGTCATTGTTTTCTGCAGCTTGGATTTCCCAAGGCTTCTCATGCTCTGATTTTTTTACCTTTCTTTCAGAATTCAGACACTGACTTAAAAGTTCAAACTGAACCTAACCTCAGATATTGACCGGTCTTACTCTAAAACCGAAGCATTTTTTTTTGGCCAGTTCAGTCACTCTGGCCCCACCCATAAGTTCCCTATTAAGATTATATAAATAAAAGTATAAAGTACACAAATGGTCCTCTAACTATAAAATATTATTTTATTAAATTCATCGATTATTAAAAATTACAAACTGGTCTTTCATCTATAGAGTGTTGCTTTGTCGAGTCTATCGACTATTAAAAGTTACAAAATAATCATCTGACTATTTATTATGTTCTAAACTCATTATTTTTCATTGAAAAATTGGTGGTTGTCTAAGTTAAACGTTAACATGATGATTGAGATATAATAGTCATTTGGGATTTGTGATCAAATTTTATCATATCACAGTCAACATATTAATGTTCAGCTTAGAATACCATTAATTTTTTAATAGAAAAAGATGAATTCAAAACATAATAAATAGTCAAGTGATCATTTTGAAACTTTTAATAGTCCAATAAAGCAACACTCTACATACAGAGGATCATTTTATAACTTTTAATAGTTAAGTGACTTAAAATTAATAATTTATATTCAAGGGACCATTTGTGTACTTTACCCATAAATAAAATGGCTTAAACTTAAAAGATCCCTAGCTATATTTTTTTTAACTTTAAGCCCTTAAACTGTTTTTTATCAAAATGAGTCCTTAAAACTATTATATGTAACTATTTTAAGTACCTAAACTGGCCATAAAACGATAAACATTTCAAGATAAAAAATAATTTATTATTAAGTAACAAAATACGTTAAACAAGACAAGAAATACACAAGCGAAGCTCACACCATCAAATAAAGTTCTAATTAATACTAAAATGGCCTAATTTCACTCTAATCGGCGCTTGAAAGAATGTTACACGGTTTTGCTTATAATTTGTAACTTGATTTTTTTTCAGGCAAATAATTGAAAAAACTACAACAAATAATAATAAACCTGTAGTATTTCTCTCTAAAACCAACACCCACCATGGCATAATTGTGGGTTCTTTAACTATATATGAATCATTTTTTTTTATTTTTCACCTTGAAATTTTATTCCTATGTATATTCCCATTTTCAATCTCACTTTTCCAGCTACAAAACCAGACCAAAGTAGGACAAAACTTGAAAAAAAGATGGTAATTTCAGGTGTCAAGTTGAGATGATTTGTTGTGTAGCTTCCTCCTTTTAATGTCTGGTCTAGGATGACAACTACTTGTATATAACGCATGTTTTGTTTCATCACTTTTATAGCTCAAACATGTTGAGCCATCCAGTACTCCAATGGGGCTTCGAGGCGCGGATGAAGCCGAAGGAGTTGTGCTGCCGTTGATGAATGCTGAATCTTTCATCACCTCGGTACACTTCAACACTCTTTCCTGCAAAACAAAATCGTCGAATATCAACCAAAGTCGTCATTACTTGAGTCTTGTATCTTTTTATTTTACCTTTTGTACAAAGATGAATGACGAAATAGCTTTATCAATGGTGAATCCTTGCATTTCTCTCGAAACGGAAATGGCCACTGCTGCGGCGATTTCAGAAGGTCTGAACTCCAACAAATCGATACCTGGCATTCATTCATTCAGTCCACCATCAAGCACAAACGATTCTCGATGAAAACGTAAACAAATGGATACCGTGAGAAAGAAAGAAACCTTTGATTATGTTCGACATTAGTCGTAATGATCTAGAGATCGAAATCGACAAAGGATATTGATTGTTACAAAGTTTGCTCAAGAAGTAATCAATGAAGGAACAAGGTGTTAAAACAAGCGTTCTCCACTTCAATGTGCTTAATACCAAAAGCTCCATTCTTTGTATTGTTTTAGCTTCAAACACAAACTTCGGTTCCCCTACCTGCAAACAAAAACAATCAGGGAACTCGAATCGGGAAAAGACCAAGCGATTAAAATGCATCGAAGAAGCCATCGAATCAATCTACATGTAATCACCTGCAGTTTTACAGATGAGGGCATCACTGTCTCCTCCATTTTCGCTGCAATCGATAAACATGCAACAGCCAACAGTTGGATTGTCCATCTTTTATCTCTCTGTGTAATTTATAACGAGTGACTAAATTATGATTCAAGAGTTGAAAGAACCAAATTTTGAGGCTAATTTGAGAACACTTACAGGTAAGTTGTACATTGATAGGAACCTATCTAAGTAGTTAATGGATAGGCAAAGGCTCAAAAGACCAAAGCTGAAATAAGCAGAAGCCTGTTGATCAATAATGAAAGATTAAACACTCATTCATAACACATAAAGAGGGCTAATTCCAATTTCAGGTTGCCATAAAAGAAACGCAGAATGCTAATACAAAAACCCAATTAAATGGATCAAACAAGCAAAAATAAACAGACCTTACAAATCCACTCAATGGCCTCTCTTCTGGCACTCAAGTCCAAATCCCCACTTCTCAGTCTCTTAAGATAGTCATCTGCAGGCAAATGCATCATCTCTTTTTCAACCATTTCCTTAATTACATCATCACTTTGCAATGCAAAACCAGGAAAACCCGTCAAAGAAGTTGATCCGTTGTTTATAATAAAAGGGTCATTTTGATTAAAGGTTTGGTTTTTAAAGCGTTGGTGATCAGCAGGGGAAACCCCAAACTCGAGATCTCCATCAAAGCAACAGCTTGTGTTCTCTGAACAGAGTAGATTTGAGGCTGAACAGTCGAGCTTTTCAGCCATTTTTTCTCTCAAGAGGAAACCCCAAAAAGGTGAGGTAAAACAGAACCCCAGAACAACCAAAGAAGAAGAAGAAGAAGAAGAAAAAGATCAATTCATCATGAAGGTGAGAGCCTTGAGTCGAAAAGGGCTCATCAATGGCTGGTGGGGAAGGGCAAGTTTTTTATTATACAATAAAGCCAAAAAGAAAGAGCGAAAGGGAGTGGGTCTGAGGGGAAACTGTTGCAACAAGAGATGCTTTATGTAGGGAAAGACGAGTTGAGATTTTAGGGTAAAATGAGAAATGAAATCGAGGGATCGAGGGGGAGGACAGCCGCGCCATAGCCCCAAAAAAAATAAGAAAGGAAATATAATGGAAAAATTGTTATAATTAATGCAAAAACGGAAATGAAAAATATAATAAACTTGACCAAATCCATTTTCATTTCATTTTATTTTTCTTTTCATGATAAATATGAATATTTTAGCTTCACATTGTCATATTGGCGTATGGTTTCTTTTCCTTTTTATAATTGGAATATGGCATAAAACTAATAATTAAATACGAATTAATTTATAATGCGAAACTTTGAATATACCTCTTAATACGAGTGATTGAATTTCAGAAATAACTTCGTTTGTACTAAGTCATCATACTATATTATCGTAAGATCCCTAAATTTTTAGGACACCAACTTTTTGATCACCTAATTTTTAAAACTTACATTATCATTACTAAACTTTTAATTCATTTTCATTTCTGTCCTTACTGTTACCTTTCATTCGTTTGATCTGACGTGTGACACTTAACCCTGTTAACCCTTCTGTTTTCTCACCCCAAATTCATTCTATTCTCATCAATTCTATTCCCGTAAAGCCCCATTTGTGGCCGATGATACTGAGACTGCAAATGAGGGTTCCCTACCACGGTCGCCGGCATTTGTTGTTGTTGCTGCCTTGTTAGCGATGCTGCAGTGCTGGCACTGGCACGAAGGGTAAGAAATGCTCTAAATTAGCTCGACCAGGATGAAGAAAGTGTGGTGGAACCGGTGAACTTGCAAACAAATGGTCTGTCGTTGGATAGCCGAGGCCCTACATCCGCCGTTGGCATCGCCTCCACTACCACCAGGCAAGCCTTGCATTCTCTTCAAATAAAGGCGATACTTCCGCAAATGACTCGCAACGTTTTCTCCCGTCAAGCCATCAACACTCATCAACTACATTATGGACTTGGGGGCTGTGTTCTTGATCCCCAAATGAGACACAGCATCGACGAATCTCTATTGGAGCTGTGGGGTCCACACGAAGCGAGACTGCTTGAGAGCGCGCGCGGGCTCATCTCCGGCTGCCTCGGATTCCAGGTCCCCGGAATCGACAACAAATTTGGATAAGGAGGGTTGAGAATGGGGCAACTAAGCCGGGGAAGGCGAAGAAGTAGAAGGCTGTTTCTGTTGAGCATGGTTTGGGTTGCAAATGTCGAAGGCGAGAGCAAGATCGGGAGTAATTAAGGATTGGGAAAAAACCATATGCTCCGATGAGGGAAACTCTTCCTCCCATCTGGATAACCAATTTGAGTCTTCTTCCCTCATAATAATTCACAGAAATAGAAACCCAAATAGAGCTACAAATCCAAAGTTAGTTTAAAGTTCGAGTTGTACATCAACTGCAGTAGTATTGTCTGTAGGTACGTAACTCATTTAGATTTTAGGTAGGGTTTGTGGAATTTGGGTTTGTTGAAGCTCTATATAAATACGAGTTTCTGGAATTTATTTGGGTTTCGATTAATCTCCTCTTTTGTATGCTTGTGTTGTGTTCTGTGATGTTAATTCAACTCAACAAGAAGAAGAATTAGGATATGTTTGGCTCAATGAGAAAATAGAATGAATTTGGAGTGAGAAAATAGAATGAATTTGGAGTGAGAAAACAGAAGGGTTAACGAGTTAAGTGTCACGTCGGATCAAATTAACGGAAGGTAATAGTAGGGACAGAAATGAAAAGCAACTAAAAGTATGGTGACGATAATATAAGTTTTCAAAAGTTGTGCGACCAAAATGTAAACACCCTAAAAGTTCCGGAACTATTTTTATATTTTACCCTAAATTAAAGTTTACAAACTAACCAAATGCTTGTTATTGTAAACTAAAAAAATTATTAATGTGTAACCCAATTAAATTAAAACATATTTACATGATATAAATTTATTCAAAAGGTATATTTAAATTCATTCAAACATCAAATTAATGATCTGACTTATTGAATGTGATATGTTCAGCTAAACTTTGATTAAGAATTTTTTTTCTTGATTTAATCGAGTTAATATTTTAAAATAAAAATAATATTTTATTTAAATTTAATTACAAAACTATAAACAAATTAATTTAATTCGAATATAAACTTTTATTGAGTTTGGAGTTAAAAAGAGAGTGCGAAATTAGAGATATACGGTTATCACACGTGTTACATATGACATTAGATTATCAATTAGTTTCAATCTAATATGATATTATTTATTTTGGCATAAAAATATCACCGATAAAATAAAATAGCATAAATATTAATTTTATCAATTGATTAAACAACTAAACAAATAAAGGAATTTTTTCATAAACTAACAAAAATATACCCTTTATTTTTAAAAGACAAACTTTTGATGTGTTTAAATTGTTATTTATTGTCTTAATCAAATATTAAGGAGTTTTAAGAGTCCTAATTTATACTCCATGTAAAAGTACAAAAGAATTTGGTTAAGATATTAAAATTATATAATTAAATAAGGGGTTTTTCATGAATATATTGAATAAAGGTATTAGACAAAGATAACACATTTTAAGAAAGAAAAAATAACCTCAGTGACACAAAATGCCTTATAATATACGATTTTAATTATTTTTTTTTGGATTTGTCAAAATAACCAACTAAATCGCAATGCGATCGATAATTCGCAACGCGATACCCGGTATCGCAAATCAGTTTCCAGATTCGCAACGCGAATCTGACTATCGCCTTGCGATTCTGACTATCGCATTGCGGTTTATCAAATTCGCGTTGCGATTTTCCGACTATCGCAATGTGAATATATAAATCGCAATGCGAATATGTAAATCGCAATGCGAATATGTAAATCGCAATGCGAATATGTAAATCACAATGCGATTATGACTATCGCAATGCGATTCTGACTGTCGCAACGCGATTCTGACTGTCGCAACACGAATGACTGTCGCAACGCGAAAATGGCTATCGCAACGCGAATTTGACTATCGCAACGAGAGAATCGCAATGCGATTTTCATTTCGCATTGCGATTCTTTCGTTGCGATAGTCAAATTCGCGTTGCGATAGTCAAATTCGCGTTACGATAGTCATTTTCGCGTTGCGAAAGTAAACTATTCTTCTTCTACAAATTGAAACTTAAATGGATTGCATTACTTCAACCAAATGACAACCAAAAACAAATACTAACTTCACAGGGTTAAAGAATAAACAGTTTAGGAGTATTGGCAGCAACCGAATGAATTTACTAAGCAATCTAAGTAAAATAGTTAATCTAAGTGAAATGGTTAATCTAAGTGAAATTACGAGTAAATTTATCATCAAGTTAAATATGAAAAATATTAAACTTACCTCGTTGCGTAGAGTATGAACCTCATTCTGCAACGATGCTACCATCTCACGTAGAGCGGCTATCTCACCACGTAAAGTAGATACCTCAACACGCCATGCACCATTGTCATCGCGTAAAGTACCGACCTTCTCACGCAAGACATTGACCTCATCACGTAACTCCCCTAACTCATCCCGTGGAGGTGGAGAACAGGGAGATAAACGTCGTGGCATCTTTGCTGATCGCCTATCATGAGGTGATGGTGGATAAGAGGCTCGATGATGTGACAGAATAAGTGATTGCTCTCGTTGTGGAGGTGTATAGTCGGGTCGATCAGGTGATGGCTCTGGGTGAGGTGATAGCACTCGAAGTGGAGGCTGCTCATCATCCATGCCATCAAAAAAACGCTTACTAGCTTGCCACCAATCAGTGGCAAGCTCAGCTTCCGTGGGTGTCAGCCTCTGTAATAGAGTGTTGGACTCCTAACAATATAAAAGCTCAAACAAAGTTAAACGTGTACTAGTAATAATTGTTTATAAACATATGGTAGTATTTGTGTTAACTTACATTATTTATTGTCGTATACGGTAGTAACTTTTTCCATTGCTGCAAGGTCCGTTTCCTCTTCCAGGAAATAGCCCTAGGAATATCATTAGAAGTTTTTCATGCATATGTCTGCATGGCGGGAAATCTCAATATCCAAATCTACAAACAATATAATAACAAACATTAGTAATTGTTAATAATAATAATTATAATTTTGGAAACATTATATAAAAATTCTTACCTTAAAGGCCCAAATAAAGCCTGACAAAGTGTATTTGGAACCATCGCCACGCAAACTTTTTCGATCATCAAAGGCAGACGACAACTTATTCCATGTAGCTTTCCATAGATACGAACCCCACGGAAACAGTTCCATGCATTTAGGTCTCTACCAATTTAATTAGATCATTAGGAATAGGTTGTTGGCCTCTCTGCCTAAAATTCGCATGCAAAAGTATTAGAAGGCATACTCGGACAACATCGACGTCATCCATCCGAGTAAACCATCTTTCTTATTCAATAATCTCGTCAAGTCTTCCACGTGTAAATTCGGCTTTCCATTGACAGCTCAGAAAAACCCGGGATAACCATGATAGGCGGGTAATATGTCTAGTGTCCGACCTACTCATCGTGTCCGAAGCGTAGACCGGTGATTAAGCAAAACTCCTCCCGCCCAAAACACGTATACGCCGGTGGAAATCAAATCATATTCTTCATCACGACGTTGTATAGTCTCTGGTAGATCGCTAGTCATGGTTTGAAGAAACAGATGGTCAACATAGCATCTCCACCTGGATGTTGTACTTTCAGCCATGGCCCGAAGCAAGTATCCTCAAATATTTTTCTTTGTGCAGGTGAAAGCTTCGACGCAATTGTTTTGACCAGGCTTAATTTATTTCTTAAGGTCAATTGAGCCGAATAAAAGTTCGACAAAAACAATAAACATACCAAGTTTGATATACAAAAAACTACACTGTGAAGATATACCAAGAACAATAAACATAAAGAGTAGTTTTATTCTTCAAACTTAAATTTGCAACACTGTGAATTTAGTATTTGTCTTTGTTTTTTTGTTGAAGTAATGCAATTCATTCAAGTTTCAATTTGCAGAAGAAGAATAGTTTCTGAAACTTAAAATCGTAACACGAAAATGAAAATCGCAACACGAAAATGAAAATCGCAACGCGAAATGAAAATCGCAACTCGAAATGAAAATCGCAACGCG